AAAAAGGCTGGAAGCCTGGCAGAATCTGAATAGCTGGCCCAGAATCCCTGGGCAGAGAGTAGCACACACCAGGACTTGAACTCAGCTCCACGTTGGAGCGTCACAGCCATAACTCCCAAAGGAAAACCCCAGGAGTGTGGGGAGGCAGGCTGGGCAGGGGGGTGGGAGTGGGGTGGAGGGTCCAGCCTGAAAGAGAATGAGCAGGACTGGGATGCGGGTGACGGGGAGCAGGGGACAGCTGGGCACAGAGTCCAGTCACCATCTGTACCCAGGTGTCCGGAGGGAGAGGGGAGACCTGTGGCCTGGCGGTGTCCACGCGGCCTGCTAATCCAAACCACACGGACAGGGCAGGCCTGGGGTCCCGTCGGAGGCCCGGGCAAGGTGATGATGTACAGATTCCTAAATAAATCTCTCTCATTAGGGACCCGCTGTCTGGAGGAGAAAAATGATGCCCTTCCCCACTCGGTCTCCCGCTTCCAAAAAAAGGGTGGGGGAATCCAGCGCTGCAGCTAAAGAGGAAATTGCATTAATACAGATTGTTTTATTTAAAAAACCTTGACCTCGACTTCAAAAAAAGTCATTAGGCCTCCTGCTTGTTGGGGCCGCCGCGGCTGTTATGGGGGAGGCTTCTCATTTCTCAGTGACTTACCGTCCCGCACGGCCTGGGGACCGGGCGGGTGGCGGGTGATTTAAGGCTCCCTGCAGAGAGATGTGTAAATCTTCCCGCGTCCAGGGAAACTTTAGCAGGCCGCGAAGGCTGAGGGAAGGAAAACTGGAAGTGCCCCCTCCCCTCCTTTTTTCCTTTTTTATTTTCTTCCCCGTTAGAACTCTGATCTCTTTGGTCGTAAAAATGGTCATATTTCACCCCCAAAATATCAGCAATCAGCGAGCTGAGGAAGTGGCGCCCACGGGGAGTTGTGCTGCCTGATTAGACCCTTGGTTTAATTACTTAACGCCTGCCTGCATCGGGCGGGCTGCGAACACGCCCACCTGGCCGGAGTTCAAGAGCACGTTATAAATAATAATAACTATTATATCCCCAATTAAGCCGGCAGCTGAGAGCCCTGGGCCCCGCCCTGTGAGTCTGTGACCCCCCTTCTGTGTGCCCGGCGGAGCTCTGCTCAGCCGCAGAGTAATGACAGCAAGATGTTGCCGGCCCCCGGAGGGCACAGTTAGGGCCTGCAGGCGGCAAAGACTTCACCAAGGCCCTGGGCTCCCCCAGCCAGGCCTCGGCTGGGCCCCCACATCTGGGGGAGAGGAGGGGGGTCCCTGATCAGCATCCTTTCTCCTTTGAGCTTCAGGGTTTCTACCTGCACCAGGAGAGTTCTCCCCCAAAGGGCGTCCTGGGGGAGGCGTCTGTCCCAGGAACCCACCCTAGACACATCTAATGAGATCAACAGATCCGGGGAATGTTTCCGTTTAACAGTGTATTACAGCAAAAGACACACGGCCAGGAAAGCCCCTGCAAGTCTGTCCCCTCACTTGGAGCACACTCATCCCATCGCCTTGGCCGCTTCCTGCAGCAGCTCTGGCGTGCTCTTTCCTGAGGGTCTTCAGTTGCGCTGCTGCACCTGCTGCCTGCCCAGTGTCCTGAACCGATTCAGAACGTTTCTCTTTCGTGATTGTTTTGACTTTGGGATGAGCCAGGTGTCGCGCGGCGCCAGATCTGGTGAATCGGGTGGAGGAGGACACACGTCATGCTTTTCTTTGACAGAAATCGCCATAAGCATTCATTAATTATTTGACAGGATTGCCATAAACAGAGGTTGCGGTGCGCATTACACACCCTAAACCTTTCCCCCTCCCCCATCTCTTGGTCCCCGCTCCTCTTGCCTGACACCTGTCCCCGTTTGCTGGAGAACGGCAGCTGAGCCCAGCCGAGTTCAGTCCTCGGCGCTTGGGGGCCACGGCCCGGGCTCAGCGTGCCCCATGCCAGCCTCAGCGTGCAGCAGGGGTTCAGTACATCCCAGCAGGGAGAATCATTCAGGGCATTTCCCAGCAGCCTGTCTTGCTGGGGTGCCGGCTGCCCCTGAGGTCCCTGAGGGCCACTTGCCAGGATCTAGAACCCAGCATGGCACCTTGCTCTGCCCACCTGGTGCTGCACCCGGATGATCACCAGCAACTTGTCCTTTGTCCCTCATGCTCAAGCCAGGCCTACTCAGGCCTGCTGGGCCTTCAGGAGCCCGGACCCACCTGGAGGTCACTCTGGCATTGGAGGCCCCACCGTGACATCTTCAGAGCTCACCACATGCCACACAATGATGAAAAGGGTGAACGATGTCCCTGGTCCCAGGGCTACAGTGTCAGAAGGACACAGCAGGCCTCTTGCAGGGAAAAGCTGAGTTCAGAGAGGGCAGCTGGTAGCCTAACATCACACCGACTTTCCATCAGTTACTGTGATCATGTCTTCACATTGGCTTTGGGCTTCCTAGTAGCAAAGGTGAAAAGGGAAATGCAATGGGTCTCATTATTTCCTTCTTTTATTTTAAAAATGGATAACTCCTCCACAGGAAAAAAAATCTAACTTCCCAGCTCTAATTCTCATGGAACAACCTGGCATGGTGATTAGGAGCCTGGTAAACTTACAAGGACTCAGAACTTCTACCCGAGTAGCCGGTCTCCCTTCCTCTGTGAGAGATGCAGGAGGCTAAGATAAGGTGGTTCACAAGGTTGCCTGACTTCCAGGAGGCCTGTCACCCCAGAACCCTGGGACCCCAGAGCACACCTTTGCCTTTGAATCTGCTGGCAGGGCAGACACATCCCTCAAAGCGTACAGTTGTCCCTCCACATCCTGGGGGACAGGGCCAGGACCCTCAGGGCACCAAAACCTTCATCCCCTTCCAGCCCCTTAGGTGAATGGAGTGGTGTTTTGTTCTCACCCGTGCACCTTCTGTGTACTTTAAATGACATAATTCCTCCCAGTACCTAATATAATGTGAATGCTATGAATAGTTATTACGGGACTCTGTTTAGGGGACAATGATAAGAAAACTGTCACACGTTTAGCACAGATGTATTTTTGTTGCTGTTGCTTTAGTTTTTTGAGATGAGGTCTCCCTATGTAGCGTAGGCTAGCCTTGAACTCACAGCGATCCTCCTGCCTCAGGATCCCAGCGCATTCAAGGGCAGCCTGGGCTACATAGTGAGTTCAAAGCCAGCCTGAACTACCTAGGGAGTTCAAACCAAAACCAAACCAAAACAAAACATAGCTCACACTAGCAAGCAATCACAGACCCTGCCAGGAGTAGAAATGGGGGTGCTCTTTCTGGGGCAATGTGGCCATGGTGTCAGAAGGCCTGAGGTTTCGCAGACTCTGTGACCCGGGGCATGGATTTTCTGTCCGTCACTGCAACCATGGACTCCACACAGGCCTGTGTTTCAGAATCCACACGCAACGACCGTCCTACCACTCTGGGGGCCTCGGGGCGGAAGTGAAGGCCCCTGCTCCAAGGGAGGACCGTTCTGGAGTGGAGGTCTCTTCTCCTGCGTCTGGAGCCCGACACCATGGTTCAGGAGCCGCCGCCCCCCATCACAGGCCAGCAGTGCCAACATCCGTCTCCCGCGTGCCTCCCTGACCCTGACAGCCCGTCCCTTCCGCCTCTGTGGACCCCTGGGATTACACTGGGTAGGGCCACCCTGACAGCCCGTCCCTTCCGCCTCTGTGGACCCCTGGGATTACACTGGGTAGGGCCGCACAATCGCCTCCCCAGCATAATTTGGTTCCCAGGTGGGGGACACACTTCCAGGCTCCGGGATTACCAGGGCCACATCTCAGGGAGGCCTTCCCACGCTTACCACACCAGCTGTCCTGTTTCTAGGTAGTTCGCCTTAAGGGTATAACAGGATGTAGACAGGGAAGAATTAGGCTTTCGTTAAAAATGGTAGTCGTCGTGACTATTCAAAGACAGACAGCAGAGGCTGGGCGTGGTGGCCCCCATGTCTGTGGTCCCTGCTCTCAGGAGGCTGAAGCAGGCAGATAGCAGCAAATTCCAGGCCAGCCTGGGCAGCAGAGCGAGTTCTGGGTGTGTCTGTGGATGACTGACACGCAGAGCAGCGAATGGAAAGGGAAAGGCCACCTCAGTTGTGGGTGGCACCAAGCAATAGGCTTGCAGCCTGGATGGAGTCAAAAGGGGAGGCAGAAGGAAGTGGACCTGTTTTGAAGACCTCCCTTCCTGGGAGGCTCCTCCTTTGCTGCCCTCACCCCTGGACCAGTTCCAGGTCTCCAGCCTTCTTCTTTTCCTTTCTTTCCTTTTTTTTCTTTTTTTTTTTTCTTCCCAGACAGGGTCTTGCTGTACATTCCAGGCTGGCCTCGAGCTCACCGTGATCCTCCTGCCTCAGCCTCTTGAGTGCTGGGGTGCAGGCATGCACCACCACACCCAGCTTCACTTCATCTGTCCAATAAAAGGACTGGTACCAAGCCATTCCCATGCTTCTGACAACTCTGGAGGAACTTTTGCCTTTGCTGCCTCGGTCTTCTCATCTGTCATGCCACAGCTGATATGCACAGCTCCCTGCTGTATCGTAGGCCAAGAATCCACAGAGTTCTCTAGCGCCCCAGGGACTGCATTTAGCCCATCCCCTTGGAGGAGCAGGGCCCAGGAGGGCACTGCCTGGTCTAGTGTGGCTGGAGGTCTGTCTCCGCAGAGCTCCCTTGTGTCTGTCCCCCGAACAACGATGCGGCCACCCAATCCCTGTGTACGCTGGGTCTCCCCGGTCCTCAGAGA